CCACCCATCCACCCATCCATCCATCCATCCATCCATCCATCCATCCATCCATCCATCCATCCGTCTTCCCACTCACCCATATATCAGTTCTCTCTGTACACTGACCTTGGCTCTTATATTTGTTCAAGAGAAAATTAAGATTCTGATGTCATTTGTTTAGTGAGACAATACAATGAAATGTTAGACTGCCAGATAAAATATAGGATTCTCAATTAAATTTGAATTATAGACAGACAATGAGTAATTTCTCTTTGATAAATATCCCCCGCATAATACTTTGTGGACACACATATACTAAAAGTTATTGTTTATCTGGAACTTGATTTTCCTTGGAATACCTGTATTCATGTTTGCTAAACCTGGAAACCCTCTAATAGATATGGAAGCTCTAAACTTGGATTACTGCCACCCCCTATTTGACCCCTGATAAGAATGATGCCGTTGCATAGCTTCAGACAGGAGTGAAACAGTAACTACAGAAAGAGTGTTGATTTCAGCCCCTGATTATATATTCTGGGACTATAATTAAGTTCCTGTGGAAATTTTGAAGATGAACTTACAATTCCCTTTAAAGCAATCAGTCATATGGCGACAGTACTTAACCGGTGCTTTTTGGTAATAATTATGTAAAATGTTTCCTTCCCAGGGTATGGTCCCTAAATGGAAGGAAGGTTCAGTAGTGGAGATACTGCAGAGAGCCATGATGTAAGCTTTGATATTCATGTGACCGTCCAGGGATCTGGTGAAAATGTGGGTTATGATCCTGCAGGTCAGGGTGGGTCTGAAATTCTCATTTCTGACAGGAACTTAGGAGATGCTGCTACTGTAGGCTGCTGGCCTGCTCATCAAGCAGCTAGGCTGTGAGGCTGAGGGCACAAGCTCATCCCTCTCCAGGGAGATGAGCCCGCCATTTCACTTAGAGAGCCTAGGATGCATGATCCAGGTGGAACCCTCAATGCCGATACAAGCTAGCTACAAGACAGAGGCAGAGAGACTGCAGGGAAGCATGCGTTTCCATCAAACTGTACGTTCCCTAAAAATGGCAAAGGCTTTCTTATTAATCAGCAGGTCTAGGGCTCAGTGTAGCGCTTGGCACTTGCACTTGGCACTAAGTAAGAGTTCGCTGCATGAACGCACACATAAATGAGGTGTACAAAGAGTGATTGAGACTTGTGTAGGCAGAGCTCAAGATCTGATCAAGAGGGTGACCGGAGTCAACAGCTGTCAAGACTGCACTTCTCCCACCTGTCACCAAGTCCTCCATGGTGCTCTCCTCGGCGATCTCTATGACCTCAGACATATCTGAGCATTCCTGGCTGGGGGAACTGATCAGACCATGGATGTTGTCCAAGGTGATGTCATCCTTGTAGCTTTCGCCGATCAGGTGGATCATGGTCTCCTCATACTGGTTGTTGATCACTGATAAGTGGATGGTGCCTGTCATTCTCCCAATCTTATTGGAGTGGAAAAAGACATCGAACTCAGCTGTGTCTCCAGGAGAAACCACTAGGGAGGCCGTGTGGGCTTTTTTGACTGTAAAGTGAAGATGAAAGTTATGATTTAGAAAAATGCATCTCTGGAAAGACCGTGGTTAGAAGGAAAGCAGCCCCTTTGCGGGGGAACCCTTGGCTACCAGTGTCGTGACTGAGTACCAACTGTGGTTTGGCCCTGAGAAGTCCCTGGTAAAGCAGCTTCTGGGTTCCTCTGCCCTACTGAGCGCCTGCCCTCTCCGCTCACCTTTCTCATTTGGTTTGTTTTCCTCTATGATGTAGATGTAGGAGGTAGTGGGCCTCCCTTTTAGAGAGAAGACTCCTAGTTGGTCCCGCAGGTCCACATGCAGCTGGAAAGAAGAAAGTAGGGTTGAGGGTTGAGTGTTAAGCGTACAGGTTGCTCAAGAATTTGAGTCTGGGTTGCGATATTGAGCTGTATTTTAGGTGGCAAGAATCTTCAAAGTCATTACACGTAGCTTTCGCCTTTTATTTTCTCCATTTTTGCCTGGATACATGTGAATGGTACGTGTGTGTTCTCATGTGTGTGGGGGCACATGTATGTAGAGTGTGCATGCATGTGGAGGCCTGACATTGACAGGGTACCTTCCTCAATAGTTCTCTTTCTACATAAGCAGGGTTTCTTGCTGAACCTGGAGCTCACTGATTCAGACTTGTCTAGCTGGTCTCTAATAGAGACTGGGGATCCCCAGTCTCTGCCTGTTGAGTGCTGGGATTGCAGGTGACTGCCACCTCCTGTCCTGCTTTTATGTGGGCTCTGGGGGTTTGTACTTTGTACTTCATGTGTGTGTATTAAGCCCTTTACCCATTGAACCATATCTCTAGCTCATGGTCTTGAGAGACTTAAGAGATATATGTAGCAAGCATTAGACTTGGATAGAAAAATGAACCCTCAGTTAGGCCATTCTTAGTAATCTGAGTTAGGAACCAGAAGCCCAAAGGTGATGGGTGACCTTCTGGATTACACAGTTAGACAGTGTCAAAGGGGATTGTCACTGTTTCTGTTACACAGAGAGGCAGTGGAAAGGTATAATCTAGACTAATGGAATGGAAATGAATACCCATAGTTCTATGAAGCATTGCATAACTACGGTTTCCAGGAAGCCAGCATTTCCTAGGTGCTGTGCATGTGCTAGAGTCATGGTAAATATCCTAGTGAGATGATAGGAAAAACAACTCTGACTGACTCTGGAAAGCAGGCAGAGAGAGCTAAAGCCAGACATTAGATTTTAGATGTGAGAAATCTGACATTTTTAGAAGGTACTGATGCTGACTATAAAGAATAAAAAACAAAGAGAAGGAAGATACAGAGCCACTGTACTGCAACCAGAGATTACAGATTTAGAAATAACCATAATGGGAAACTAAGTGGAGGGGTACCAAGATGGCTCAGTGGGTTAAGACACTTGGTGTTCAGCCTAGCAACCCAAGTTCAAACCCAGGGACCAACAGGGTGGAAGGAGAGAACTGAATCCCATGGTTAGCCTCTGACCTCCACAATCTCATGTAGACACATACACACAAAATAATAAATAATGTCAAAAAGATAAACTATATAGAGGAACTTATAATATTTTAGGAATACTGAGATAAAAGTCCAAATGATGGACAGGAATCCTAAATGTTACCCAGGGTGGACAGTTATTCTGAAACCAGGAATTTTTCCCCAGAGAACTCACAGGCTTTAATTTTGATTCCAATGAGATTAAAACCTTTTTGGGGATGTATTTTACTGTATGTAAGTGGGTGTTTACCTGCAGGTATGTCTGAACACCATATGTGTGCTTAATGCCTGCTGAGTTCAGAAGGGATGTTAGATTCCCTGGAACTGGAGCTACAGATGGTTTTAAGCCACCATGTGGGTTCTGGGAACCAAACCCAGGCCTTCTGCAAGAACAGCCAGAGCTCTTAACCACTGAGCCATCTCTGCAGCTCCTTCCAAAGAGATTTTTAAAGGAACTTGAAAAAAATGATTCTCAAGCTCATATATGAGCTGATTATACAAAAATTCTTAAGGAAAGTTCAAACAAACCAGGTAGTAAGTGGCAGGACCTCACTGAACTATACAAGTGGTTTTTAATATGTGGGTTATGATCCACCTCAGGGTCTAATGACCCTTTCACAGGGGTTGGCTAAGACTGTGGGAAAACACAGATATTTACATTATGATTCACAACAGTAGTAAAATTACAGTTATGAAGTGGCAACAGAAATAATGTTATGGCTGGGGGGGGGTCACCACAACATGACTGTATTAAGGGGTTTTCAGCATTAGAAGGGTTGAGGCCCACTGCTGTGGACACATTTATAAATGTCACCATAATGAAAACTATGCAGGATAGTGCCAGCGTAATGTTCTGTGTCACCGTGGGCCTAAAATGGAGAGAAGCAAGGAAGGACTGTGGTCTGAAACCTCAGAAACTGTGAGGCAGAAATCAGGCAGCATGGTCTGACCAGTATGTCACCCAGGTAACCCTGTATGTCACCCTCAGCTGTTACCTGGGCGGGGATGGTGCCATTGTTCTTAAGGATGAGAGGTAGTTTCTCTGAGTGACCAAGCAGAAGCCTCTTAAACAGGAGCAAGGGGTTTCCGTGTTGGTTATATAGAGTTGGCCGGATGACAGTCACTCGAGGGAGGGTCCCCTCACCAATAATATCAAACACAAGACCGCGGCTCCTCGCCAGGTTGCTGCAGGGGGACAGGAAGAGCAAGCAAGGTGGCTGAAACTGATCAGGCCGGGACACTTTTCCACACAGCATGTACACTGTCATTCTGCCACAGGAGGAGGAGTAGGTGGTACCTGGGCAGGCCATCCAAAGTGGCCTCGAAGATGCACTGGTAGGTCTGCATGGCCTGTGGTGTGAACAGCACTGTGGCGAAGGCGTGTGAGCGGCTCCCAATGCACATCTTGCTGGGTTCCACGTCAAAGATGTCAGTGATGCGGTGGGCCGCCTGTGAAGGGGGATGGGGTTGGGTGCTCTGTATTTCTGCTGGGGCTGACTGTGGATCCTTCTGCCCTGCTGTGAACTCTCCCTTCTCTAAGATTATGCTAGACAAGCTCAATTACCTGCAGAGTCATGGGCCCTGGATAGAGTGGCCCAGAGTCTGGGGATTTATCCCTAGGCAACATCTGGCTACACGTGGCTAGACCATGGATTCTGACTCAAATAGACAAACCAAGCCAGTCAGCCAAATGTTCTCACCAAATGCCACCTTAGATTGCACCTAGTCAACTAAATTAGTGCAATTAACGTGGAGCTGAGCTGGAAGCTGACTCAGGTGCTGGTGCTCTCATGTGTTTTGACCTGGGTCGGAGGTTCCTGACTCACTACTGGGATCCTTGTGTTATCAAAGGAGCTTCTGTTCCTTGTAACTCCAAGCACCACGTCTAGAATACCTTCCCTTAGCACTCGACTTGTTACTATCCGGTGAGTGGTTTTGAACTGCATAGACTCCCAGCATAGCTTTGAAAGAGCTTTTTCTTTCTTACAGTACTGAGCAGAACACAATGCAGGCTACCCTGTTCTCATTCTTTAGCCAAAGGTCACTAAGGTTTCACTGCTTTTCCCTTCAAGTCTCTAACTGGAGAGGAGAAGGTTGGATGTCCCCAAGTCTACTGTCATAAAACTTTTCTCTTTAGAAGCTAGGCTTTGGGCTGGAGAGATGATGGCTCAGCTCTTAAGAGCACTGACTGTTCTTCCAGAGGTCTTGAGTTCAATTCCCAGCATCTACATGGTGATTCATGACCACCTATAAAGGGATCTAATGCCCTCTTCTGGCATGCAGGTGTAATGCAGCAGAGCACTGTTACATAAATAAATAGATAAAATAAACAACAACAACAACAAAATAAAAAACAAGCCACAACAAGCCAGGGTCCCCCACCTTTTGGACTTTTTAATATAGAATGAGAAGCAAGCAGCTTCTCGGTTTCTTCAACATGGTTAGAGAGTGATGACTGGATGTCACCAGTGCTTGACGATAGTGACGGGGGATAATGGTCTCCTAACTCTCTCAGACGACCGTCTTCAAGGAATGCACACAGCTGTAGGCTGAGGCCAACCCTGGAGACCTCCTCCACTCTCACCAGCCAAGAACAGTGTGACATCTGGGGCATGAGAACCACAGGGGCACAGATTGCTCATTGTTCTGGTAAGTACTGCTTGAAGCATATACCGGAAATTCGGGGTAGCAGCTACCTGTTGATTCAGTCCTCTGTGCTATCTTTGAATGTTTTCCTCTTCTATGAGGAAAATGGCCATACTATAGTTCTGACCCAGAGAGAGGGGGCAGTTTTAAGCTTGACAGACCTCTGAAACGGGAACTCATTAATTTAATATGAACCAGGTTTGGCTTTAACCCTAGCTGTATATTCTTAGGATGTGGAATAGGGGGAAAAAATTAAGCTGAGCCTCAGTTTCCCTAACTGTAAAATAGAGACAATGACCTAGTCTTAAAGAGTCTCGAACTTGAAACAAAACAATAAATGGAAGATCACTAAGCACAATGCATATTGCAGAGGAAGGTCTCATCAGCACACGTTCTCTACTCCCCTTTATACCTGTTGTCTGGCACCTTCCACATCTCCCTGACCAGAAGAGTGGGAGGTTGGAGGCTAATCTGCCTGTAGCTGGTGCCCATCATTGGCTTCTCTTCCAGTGCTTGTATTTATCAGTTACACAGTGAGTTCAGACGAATTTGGACAGACAAGTGAGTTGCCTATTAGGATGTACCAGTTTAGTACAAAGGTATGCACAGGATACACACACATATGCAGACACAAGAGACACAGACACAGACAGAAAGACAGAAAGACAGAAAGACAGAAAGACAGAAAGACAGACAGACAGACAGACAGACACACACACACACACACACACACACACACACACACACACACACAAATACACACAGACAGTCAGTCCTTGGCCTAAGGGACATGGCCTTGTGACTTCACAGAACTTCTAACAGGGCCTGAGAGCTTCATGGTTTCCACCTAGGTGTCAGAGTCTATCGCAGGAACTTCCCAGAGCTCCTTCCCTGGCTTTATACTAACAATAGAGGGCTGGGGCAACAGAACCTCCTACCTTGTTGGAGATGGGCTTGACGATAATGTTGACGTCACAGGAGATCTTTCCCACGTTGCTGATCTTGAACCGAGCCTTGGCCTGATGACCCACCAGGACGTTGCAGAAGATGAACTTGTTCTCATCTTCCACGAACAGCCCCCCACTCTGTATGGTCTGTTGTATGTGGTACAGGTTGGGGCTGGTACAGATCTGATGTTCCTCAAATATCAAGATGTTGTTGTCGGTCACAAAGGCTAGGCAATGAAGGGATGAATGTGAGACTGCCTGGCTGCCAGGATTCTGGCTTCCTGTCATGCCAATTTAGATTAAAAACCTTAAAATATTCTATCTATCTATCTATCTATCTATCTATCTATCTATCTATCTATCTA